GTTACAGGGCCCTGTTTCCTTTGTCTGAGTTCGGAGACCCCGGCTACGCATATAAACCATACGTCTCCGATTTCGGAGTCCCGAGCAGGAAGTGGTTAATCACTGTTCATTTGATGCTATAGCTAGTCACTTGCAACAGGTTGACCCATGTTGACTTGTGACATAGCTTTTTTTCGCAGTCTCCTCTGTGCACAATCCTGCCCTCACTGCTGACAAATACATACAAGGCTTGTATGGTGATTGGATGCCGTTGGCACGCCGTATCTCAATACCTACTCAAATATGCTACAGGCGCACTCACATGGAGTATATCACCCCAAAGGTAGTCATTGCTGGGTGAAAAAAGTCTCATTTATTCATGGGGCAATGGATGTCACGGGGGCGGGGGGACTACGGCAGGCAGTGCCTAACCGCCCCTCAAAGGTTCCTCAGATTGGAATCCTTCCACTGTTAATAGTTTGAAAAACTCGTATCTCCTTGGGAAAAATTTTGATGACACCCATAATTGGAGCCCACGCTTTGAATACTGCCACTGGTGTGGATACTGCATATATTTGCTAAGAATGGCCATCTCTCCTCTCCCATCGTGAACCGGCAGGCAAGGGGAGAAGTCTGACTGCGTGTACATCGTTCTCAACGGTCGTCTCCGCTCTGTCCTGACGTTACCTTGCGGCAAGAAGGAACTGATGGGTGAGCATGGCAGGGGAGAGATCGTCGGTGTGGTGGAAGTATTGACCAGGACAGACAGGACAACTACTGTCCACGCCATCAGGTCAGTTGATAGTCTCAATACAAGGCTTTCCTGTGCATGAGCAGACTGTGTTTACCAATGTGGCTTTATTGTGGTGGCCTTTTTGATATATGTTGTGCATTGGGGGAGAAGTATTCTTGAATCGAGCCTACTTAATCATTTAAGTTTAACTTAACCAATTAAACTAAACATCGTACAAAGAGCCCAGATTCAGCAACCATGCAAAAATGAAAACTTTGGCAATTTCTTAAGGTAAGACAATTTAAACGTAATACAAGATCTGTCCTAAATGTGAAACACCACTGAATCATTTTTGGTGGATTGTATTAAGCATTTCAAGTGTAAAAAGTAAAATTTATCTCATTTAATTACAATCCTTGGCAGACATAGCATTGGCCCCCAAATCAGGCTAGTAGCATTGCTCAAGCAATTGTATGAATACATGCAAGTACAAATTAATGCTATAATTCAGTTTTCTTTTTTTACTTTGATGAAGAAAAGCCTTGGAATACATGGGATATAAACAATATACTTTCTGGTTAAGGTAGCATGAATTACACATTACGTGAAATGCTCCTTTGGCGATTAGCGTGGACTTCACACTGCCCAACCTCAAATCTTACCGACTTGCCCCAAGAAATCATTGGCCTTCGAGTAGGAAGTTCACATCTCTTGAAATTGTCTGATATCAACAGAGACACAGAACTTGCCAAGTTGCCGTCGGGTATGCTGGACTTAATCAAGCGCAAGTACCCACAGACGGTCTCCCGGCTAATTGAGATCTTGGGTCAGAGGTTACTAGGTCAGGTGCAGGAGAAGGTCGGGTCGCATGCCCTTTCAGGTGAGAGGTCCAAACTGCATGTAGCTGCGGCTTGGTGGTATTTGGTTAAAATGAGGTCAGCCTGAACCGCAAGAGGTATAGAATGGAACTTACCCATGATCCTCCTAGATCCTTCAAAATCAATCATAAGAATGTTGAAGATTTTGTTAGATCAGCCCGGCCACAGTTACTTCACCAGGAGCTTTGTGTGTTTAGAAAGTTGAAGCACAGAAAATGTGTTCCTGTAAAGTTAAAGATTCAGGAAGGATTTATGAACATTCTTGGGAAAGGTTCTGAAGCTGTTTTATAACGAGAGAATATTGAGACACATGATGGTGGCCAACATAACAATATTTTGTCATGCTTACTTTGCGTTGGAGCTAATGCGCTCATGCTCAAAGTGACACAAACCTGAGAAGAGGGAGTGTTTGTTTTCTGCCACCTAGCATTTGAAATTTCTTCCATTCTGACGCTGCCATAAAATATGCAGCTATCTTTTACAACTGGCTATCCCAACACATCAACTGGCATTCTGACCTTTGATCTTTGCTTCCAGACATCCAGGCCTCTGCCCCTGTGGAGAACCTGTCCACCGTGGCCATTGTGGCCGTGTCCGACGACGTCCCCATCTCCAACTTCACTCTTGAACTGATGCATTCCCTCAATGCCATCGGTAAGAGAAGACAGTCCCTGGCCAAGATTTCGCTGGCACAAACTTGAATAATCTCTCGCCTCTTTCTGCGCATGGTTCATCGCTAGTAGGTCTCATTGCAACAGAATTTAAATGCCCGTTTAGTCACTTGTTTTTGTGGCTGTCTTTATCGTTTTCTTCAGACGATGGATACCTTGAAAAATCCTGCCTCTTTGAGTCTAGTGGTTTATAGCACAGTGTGTTAGCTTTATATACTTGAGGTACTCAGAGTGATGTTGATTATCCTTGAAAACCCTTGAATTTTTTTTATAAGGCTTAAAATTGACTTTCATTTTTGTTCAGAAATAATCTAACTTCTCAGTTTTTAGAAATACGTTTGATGTAAATACAGCAAACAACCAGGGATACGGTGTGCTAACAGCTCATTTCTCTCCATTACAGCTGTTTGGTAGGGAAGAGCTTGCATATTTCTAATTTGCAACAACATCTCTTTATGAAACTGTGTTTTGAAGGATGGGGTGTCCGCCTTTCCTGACAGGTTCTGTCCTCCGACTGACCAAGGAGCACATCCTGCAAACCCTGGGGGGCTCAGCCCTGGACAGCATGCACGAGTACCGGCTGACCGACTGGCTAGGACAGCAGGAGGACCTGCACCGCATCGTGCTGTACCAGGCCGACAAGCGCATGACAGCGTGGACACAGCGCTGCATCAGACAGGTAAAAATGGGGCCGCATCGGACTGTCATGGCTGCGACTGGCTATAACACGGGTCATGGGGGTAGGGGGACATGGTATCCCCCGTGTGCCCCCCACCCCCGTGTGCCCCCCACCCCGTGTGCCCCCCACCCCG